CTCTCGTAAGTGATTCAGTATGGCTGGATTTATGTTGAGGTCTTTGATCCATATGGATATAACTTTTATGCACGGTGATCAATATGGATCTATCTGCAATCTTCTACATGTCAGCATCCAGTTATGCCAGCTCCTTTTGTTGAAGATGCTTTCCCTTTGAACCCCATAATACAGTAGCCTTGTTGATAGTATAACATAAGGTATTCTACACATTTCTTTTTTCTAATTTTTCTGCCTCATTAGTTTCAAATGCCAGTAATAGCCATTTTAGATTGTTTATCCCATTGACAAAATCTATTTTTGAATGTGGATATCATGTATATGTTGTAATATATATTCCCTTACTTTGCAATTTTTTCATTTATTTATTTTTATCTTAGCTTTTGTCTTTCCACTGGCACTTTCTTGTTCATAACTCACTTTCTTAATTTCTTTTTGTCTGCTGTCATGTAATATACCAAGCTCTCTTAAAATTATTATTTTGAATTCTTTGTTTTGTTTTCTAATGATGGCTTTTGTTCTTTGAGTTGGTTGATGTTTTTCTCCATATTTGTTCCTACATTATGCTTCAGATTGTACACTTTTAATACATTAGCAAAATTTTCTCTATGATCCTTTTGTTGAATCATATATAAGAAGTTCTATACTTCAGATGACAGGTTTTTTTTTAACCTGGGAGTACTTTTTGACCAAAGATTTGTTGCTTTTTTTATTTATAGTTTTTTTCTCTTTTCAAGTAACTTGATTAGTATATGTTGCTTTTTTTGGATATGTATCATTATTGATTGAGGTATCCTTTGAAATTAGTATTTTTCAAGCCAGAGACTGTAATCTTATTGATCTACTTTGGCCTTAGAAGATTTTTCTCTATTTAAATTTTCTCTATTTTTCTCCATTTTCTCTATTTAAATTCAGGGAATATATTTAATTTCTGAGGTAGAAATCAATGTGTGTCGTATAACTATATTATTGGAAATATTTTAATCACTTTCTTGCTTTTTTCTACCATTGTTATATGTTTATGCTTTAATTAACTTACACTGTTGGTAATTGAGATGTTTTAATGTCTGTAATTCACCTACAGTAGCTTACTTACCTATTAATTATAATTATTTTTAGATTGGTTGGCATTCTTCTATCATTTCTACACAATATAGGGAATGGCCAACTAATTTATATAAGAGCTTACTGGAATTTTTAACGAGAGAAGATAACATTTATAGGCATCTAGCATGATTATCACTGTGAGTATTCATTTAACCTTCTCTAATATTCTTTTGCTTATATATTTATTTATCTCAAAAATATATTGATTTATTTGGTAATGTGCTATCCATAGTTTATATAATGTGTGTATTTTATGTATGTTTCTTAAAAATTCTATTGTCAATATTTTTAAATTTTCCAATTATCTATAATTTTTATTTTTATAAATTTGATGTTATTTACTATATTAAACTATTATTATTTAATAAATTTGCTTAATATTTATTAAAAATTATATTTTATATCCTGTCTGTAATTTCTCCTCTCAGTCCCCTTCCCTACCTCTCCTCTGTCCCTCATCCATACCTCTTCTGTCCCTATTCAGAACATTACCTGGCTCCCATGTATATCAAGGAAATATGGCTTATCAAGTCTTCATAAGACTAAGCATGTCACCTGGCATAAGGCTGGGTAAAGCATCCCTGTATAAAGACTAGGGTATAGGAGGACATCAAAAGAGTCAAAGACAACCCATGCCCATACGATGAGGATTCCCACATGAAGACCAAGTTACACAACCAGAACACATAATCAGAGGTTTCAGAACCATCTCATTCAGGCTCATTGGTTGAAGGTTCAGCCTCTATGAAAAACTATGAGTCCAGGTTAGTTGATTCAGTGGATTTTCTTGTGATGTCCTTGACATTGCTGGCTCTTTCAATTATTCCTCCCCCTCCTCTGCAGGATACTCCATGATCAGCTTATGCTTTACTGTGGGTTTCTGCATCTTTTTCCACCAGTTGCTGGATGAAGCCTTTGTGATGATTTTTGGCTTAGACACCAACCTCTGAGTATAGCAGAATATAGTTAGGCATCATTACATTGAAATTTCTTTTTGCTGCAGTCATGTTTGGGTCCTTCCTAGGTCTCTGGTCTGAAAAACAGCCTCTGAGTCCTGCCAGGCACTGCAGGTAGTATCAGGGGCAGAATTCCTCAGGGCATGGGTCTTCGACTCTGTCCCTCACCCACTCAACAATTTCTCCAAGTTCCATCCATTTGCCTGCGAATTTCAAGATTACATTGTTTTATTTTGTTTATTCCACTGAGTAGTATTCCATGGTGTAAATGTGTCACATCTTCTTTATCCATTTCTCAGGTGAGGAGTGCAACAAAGACATGTGTTCAACTACATTCTTAGCAGCATTATTAGTAACAGCAAGAAACTGGAAGCAACCAAGATTTCTTTCTTAGAGCTAACATTTTCTTTGCCAGAGTAATCTATCGCCCATCTCTTGAATTCTGTTGGGGATGCTTGTGTCTGTGGTTTCTGCTCAATTCTCAAGATTTTCCATTTTCTTTATTCCCTCAGATCATGCTTCATTTATTGCTTCCATTTAGATTTTAATGTTTTGAATAGTTTCCTTCACGTGTTTTGGTTTTCCTTGCCCTTGTTTAAGGGACTTGTTGATTTTCTCCAATTTTGTGGTTGTGCTTTCCCAAATTTCTTTACAGGAGTTTTTCATCTCTTCTGTAGCACCTTTATCATCACCATAAAGTTGCTTTAAGATCGTTTGCTTTTGCTTCAGCTCTTGGAATATTCAGAGCTTGCTGTAGTAGGATGTAGGTTATTCAGATGTGAAATATTGCTGTGACTGTCATTGTTTCTGTTTCTACACTTACAATTTAGGCATCTGGATATGTCTCGGTTCTAGATTTTTTTTTTCTTTGTTAGGTAGATGCTTTCTTTTTTTACCTTCTGCTTCTCTGATCGTCTTTATCCATTGGCCTGTGGACTCTGCCTTTGTAGGGGGCTGGACTTCTGATGGCCTGGATGGCCTCTGATCCAGCCCAGAGTTTATTCCCAAGTTTGGGGTTTATGCTCTGGCTTGTATGTGTGTGGCATCTAATCTGGCTGGTGGTCTTCTGGGTTACTGAGTCAGTTCTGATTTCCGCTATGGTAGAAGTCATCCTTGTTTCAGGGACCTGGCTTGGTCTCTAGGCATCAAGGATGGGCTCTGACTGAGTACAGGGATTATGGCCTGACCTGTGATGTGGTGGAAGCCTTCTGCCACAGATGTGGCCTAGGAGATGATGAGGAAGAGATGAATGGCTACTGGAGTTATGTTGGGCAAGTATGAGTGGGTTGGAAGGAAGGTGGCCTTACCTGGGACTCAGGATGCTGGCCTGACCTCTGGTGGAAGAAGAAGCTTCTGTCACAGGAGTGGGCTGTAATTTGGTCCAATATGTATAGTGAACACAGAAGTTAAATTCCTTTTTAAATACTGATATTTACTATGGCATGCCACAATTTTATTAATTCTTTAAATTTCAATTTTAGGATGGAATTTTAATTTTTTGTTTTGCTTTGTCTATAGAATAAATTCAATGTTTTTGTAGTCATATTTTTAAATAAAATTGGCTAGATTCTTTTCATGCTTCTACCTACTTAAGTGAAATTTTTGATTTGTTTGCATAACCAATTCATCAGGTCCTTTCAATATTTACTTTAGTATCTTTTAGTCTGTTAGAGACTTCTAATTTGTACTTCTTCTAGATTCAGCTTCTCATATATTTAACTATGATGTAATTTTTGTTTTACTGTTTATTTATTACTTTTTTGTTTAATTGAAATTTCTCTTGTATTATATGTTTACATATGAGTATATAATCATTGAATTTATAGCAAGACTATTTTTGTATATTCATTTATAATTATATTTTTCTCTATAATATTTTAAAATATAGCTACAGAATTTGTGTTTTCAAAATAGGTATCATTTGATACTATCGCATTTAAATATGTAAATTTAATCAGCTTAAAATATATATATTTTAACATAATGATATTAAAATATTGTTCTAAAAATAAAATTATATCTAAAATTTACATAAAATAGCAAGTAAAGTGTAATTTTTAAAAAGATTTTATTATTTATTCTTCTTTTGTGTGTATGTGTGTCTGTTTAGCATTTATGTAAGTGCACCATGAGCTTCTAAAGTTCCAGGAGGCCATAGGTTGTTTTCATAGTCTATGGAACTGGAGGTACATCTAATTAGGATCTGCCATATGGTGCTGAGAACTAAACCCAGGGCTTCTGCAAAAACACCATATGTTCTTAACCACTCAGCTATCATGCTAGGCCCTTAACGACAAAATTTTGTATTGGGAGAATGGAATAATTTATTCCAGAGAAATAACTTCCTAGCTGTAGGAAAACTATAGACATTTTGGCAATAAACATATTTGGTGAATTTAACATATTTGGAAGTAAAACCATCCTAAGAATTTGGTGCTTAAACACAGCTGTGACCTTTGTAAACATAATTGCATGTTCAAATACATTAGGAACTTTAATGTAGTATTGTCTTGTCACAGTGAATAATCAGAATTCAGGTAATGTGTTCAATTTATGACACCAATAGTTTCTCTACAGTGACATCTTTGAAAATTATGAATCTTTAGTATAGTATTCACTGATTTAAAATGAATAACTCCCAACCATCAGTAATTCCAGTTTTAGGAGATCTTCTACCATCTTCTGGATTCTTTCAACATGAGAAATGTAAAAAAACAATACACTATTTTTAAGAAAGTCTGGTGTTTCTAAAATTCAAAATAGTCCCATTTTTTCATATTAAGACTAATGGCCATTAAGACTATTTGCCAAGCCCTGGCATTGGTATAATTCTAATTTTCTGTTATTCTCCAATTATTATTGAAAACAATTGGACAGAGTCATGAAGAACAGCATGGCTTTGTAACCTGCAAATTGTTGTGCTTTTGTCTCCTGCAGGTGCTCCAAGTGACCAAAGCAGTGGTACCTCTTCTCCTCTTTGTGACAGTGGCTTGCACCTCAACTACCATCCAAACAATACAGTAAGACAGCTGCACACGGCTGGGACTGATAAGGGTGAACTAACGAAAGAATATACCTGTATTTGTGGTTTGCTTGAACCATTGCTGAGTCTAATTTTTCTGAAAAACCTGTACTTCTTGATGCCTGCAACACAACCTAAATGATAAAACAAGCCAGAAGGAAAAATAAACATCCAGGTATTTTATGTCCCATTCCTTTTCTCGGGACTGTGTTATTAAATCCTCTGTAAGTACTGGAGACTTTTGACCAAGATACTCAGAGTGGTAGCATCATAGATTATGTCAGAGCATTTCATGCCATATACAGTCTCATGGACTGCAATATTTGTCATAATTTTTATAGAAGCTAAATATACCCATCATTTTTATATTTTGTGATTTTTTTTGCACATCATGGCAATACTGCAAAGAGAAAAAAAATCTAGAATATATTTTATGATAAAGAAATGAAACATGCATTTGACACATTAGTTTTAATGGATTTAATTGAACTTCAGTGTTTATTTTTCATATTGGTGAGTAAATTAGTTATTTTTGTTAAATATTTTTGAAATTTCTTATTTCAGCATTGCAAGCACACATTTTAAAGAAAGAAAAACTGGTTATATGTAGATTGAAGTATTTCCTAGCATAGCTGGCCTGCAGTGCATATTTATTTGGTTGATTTCCAATAAAGCACTATTAATTCAATATTAGAAATCACTGACATCATTATGAAATTTTATTTCTAAAGACTGCCTTTGAATATTTACAAGTCCAAGCAACATTTTTTGTCCCTGATTACATTGAGATCATTCCACAGCTTGATGACATAAGGTTTCTCAGGTTGGTCATCATATTTATTTATCAATTTATCTTGTAGTGAGGAACACTTTTTAACTTGTAATATAGCATGAAATTTTTCAGTTTCTATTTTATTGTTATATATTATTTATAAACCATAAGGAGTTTCATTATAACATTTCCATTCATGTTTATGACATTCCATGATCACATAAATCCCTCACCCAAATTTCATTATCCTCTTCTCCATCACTTTTTATTATTCCACAGCTATAACAGTCTCCCATTTTTCTTCATACCTTTCCACTCTAGTTTCCATATATGAGAGAAAACACACCTTAGATATGTGTGTGAAACTGACTGATATTACTTAATAAGATGACCTATACTTCCGTTTTCTTGCAAATGATATAATCCCTCAACCCCAACCCACTTATGGTTGAATAAAACTCCATTGTGTATATCTATCACATTTTTTATTCGCTACTCCATAAATTCTTTGTTCAAATTCTTCTCTCATATATTACACCCTGACTGCATTTTCCCCTCTCTCCCCTCCCCGCAGGTCCACACCCTCTGCCTCCCCTCAGACAAGAGCAGGTCTCTCAGGGATATCAACCAAACAAGGCATAAATAACAACAATAAACCCAGGGACATATCATCACTTCAAAGATGGAAGAGACATCCCAGTAGGAGGAAAAGGATACAACAAGCAGGCATAAGAGTCAGAGACAGCTCCTGCTCCCACTGTTAGGAGTTTCACAAGAACCCCAACCTACTCAGACATAACATAAATGCAGAGGACCCAGGTCAGACTCTAACAGGATCCCTGATCTCTCCAAGTCCCTATTGGTCCCTTTTACCTGATTCTATGGGCCATGTTCTTGTGGTATCTATCCTTGACCCCTCCGGTTTATAAGGAACATTGTTTATAAGGGCAACGACTGTTGTTGGAAATTTAAGACACTTACAAAACCATAAACTTCCATATATAATTCATTAAAAATTTTGTTTAATTTTGTTTATAGAAGAAATAATTGTTTTATAATAGTTAAAATCCAAAACGCTGATCTCGCAATGATACTAAGATCTGAACAATTTATCACTCTGGTTTTCCAAAGAGCAAAATGTTATACAACACAACAGTGATCTAATCGACTCTTTATTTGATACAAATGACAAATGCTTGCATTGTCCAATGTGATGTGTGTGTGTGTGTGTGTGTGTGTATGTGTGTGTGTGTGTGTGTGTGTCTGTCTGTCTGTCTGTCTGTCTGTCTGTGTTTCTTTGTTATATCCAGGACATCATGCATGTTAGACAAGTGATGTTCCACTGACTTTCCCTGGTCCCATTTGTTTACACACACACACACACACACACACACACACACACACTATGCTTTTTAAAAACAATATAATTATTGTTTTAGGTCACAATATATGTTATCATAAATACTGATAACTGTCAGCACTAGAAGCCTTGATATCTTTATTTTTATGATTAAAATAAGTATCTTTAGTTTATTAACTATTCATCTGATTATATGATTTATAGTAGTATCTATATCAGGTCTGATCGTGCTAAAGGTTGAAGATGATTGTGTTTCAGAGATTTACAAAGAAGTATAAAATGAGAAGATGACTTTTTCCGTAATAATTTATGAAAGTATTAAATTTTAATGATAACATATTTTCAGATCTATGATGCCTAATGGTGTTATATAAATGTCATAACCACTTATGGATATTATTGTCCTCAATCTCACATTGTCCCAATCATTTAACATTTTTCATATATTCTTGTATTTCTTCATATCAAAGGATTACCAAAGAGAGTAATTCACATTCACATACTATGGAAAATTATTGTTAAGTAATCTATCAGAATATATTATCAAAATGTCAAGTAACCAACAAAATATCTGAATTATCCTTTTAATTTTTTCTTATCTGATTATAAGTGTTAGATTGCTGTGATGTGTTTACTGTGGAAACTAAGAAGTATTAGTTGAATAAATAATCTCTGGCTGTCAGAGAGGTTGGATATCTTAGCAAATGAATTTTCTATAGATGCCCATTTACATGGAATCCTGATGGAGGATTGGCCATCATAACATAGAACATAAAAATCATCTGCACTATTTTTCACTGCAACCATGACATCTGGCAGGAGGAAAGTGGATCGATTACATGATTAATTGGGAAGCTTTGTGAACCCCCCCCACTATAATTCAAAATACAGCTGCTTCCCAATTTCCTCCCTATGATAAAATGACTCATTGCTGCTGACGAACAGAGTCTTTTATATTCACTCAGTAATATAAACATATCTTTATCTTAAAATAAATGTTACAAATTACTTAGTAAATCAGAAAAAAACATTATAGGTAATAATTATAAACAGCATTAGCCAAACTATTGTGAGGCTGTAGAAATGTTGTTTCCTTTAAATTTCATGGTTAGAAATAGCTTTGTCAATTACTGGTGTTTAATTTGTTTAATTAAAATATAATTGCATAGTTTTTCCTCTTCCCTTTACTCACTCCAGTTCTTCCCATGTGAATCCTTGCTCCCACTCAAATTCATAGTATCTATTACTATTACACAGAGCAATGAATACACAGAGAGACAGAGAGATGCATAAACATATGCATTGAATGTCCTGAGTGTATCTAGTGTTCCTTGCATATATATATATATATATATATATATATATATATATATATAGTTTTAGAGCTGACCAGTGGATACTAGTAAACAAAGTGATTAGCTCATCACTAGAGAGGATAAGTTTCCCCACTTTCAGCATTCCTTAGATATGTCTAGTTATTTTTCTCCATGGGGACCTTAATATTATTCTTCTCTGACATTACTTTTTTTATTTTATTTTATTTTATATAACAAAGTCCAATTAAATGAAAACAAACATTTATACACAACATTTGGGAATTTGGGCGTCGTTCTTTCCAAACTACTTCCTGCTGGTAAGGGGCGCTGTCTTGGGGGGGGATTCGAAGAAGATTCAGATATCCTGACTAGTCTGTAGGGCTGTTTTGTCCAGCTGTTTTGAATGTAGGATCAGCTTGTACTCTGTTTCAGGCGGTCTCTTCTCTGACATTACTGTATATGTTGGTATACTGTCATTGTTCAGGTATTGACTAGGCAGCCATATTGCCAAGGTTTGATAAGTAAAGAGTCATATCATTTCTAGAAGACACTATATACAGATTTTCAGATATTTTTTCTCTTGCAACTTATCTCCTCTTCTTAGATGAACCCTGGTTCTTAGTAGGAATAGTTATATTGTAGAATGATTCACTGGTACTAGGCACCTTATGATTATTTTTTGTCTATATTTTGAATGGCTGTTGTCTGCAATGGTCTTTGCTGCAAAAAGAAGTGTTTGTATAACAGATGAGAGCAACACTTTCTTATTTGTATACCGACACGCATTTAGGAAGCAGCTGAGAATTGTGCTCATTTAATAAAGTAGAAACAAGATGTTTTCTTCTTAGATACATGGCCTTACTAGCTCAAAGTATTGGATAGATTTTAAGTAATATGCATTATTTCCTTCTTGTTAAGTGAACCTTAAATTCCATCAGGCAGCTTATGATTACAACAAAGATATGAGTTCCACAATTGTACCCTTAGGCAATGTTTTCCGTGCTGCTAGTTATTGTGAATAATATGTATCACAGCTATATATGACTGATGTTTGGTTGCTTCCTTTCCTCAAAAGCTTGCATAGACCCTTCTAATACCATAAAATCTAGAACTCAGAGAGATTTTATAGTCAGATACAGCTCAAGTGTGTGTGTGTGTGTGTGTGTGTGTGTGTGTGTGTTCATTCATTTAGAAATATTTTCAAGATTAATAATGAATGAGCTCAGTCTGTGTTTACACTGGGGGCTATTCGAGGTATTTTCAAATATGATGGTATTTGGACACTTGGAGATACTCAAAACTCTTGGCCAATTGAACAAGTGACTTAATCTTCTTTGAGGGTTTTGTTGCTTCCCTGTTTTTCCCATGTCTTCCATTCTTGAACAAATTCCACTTTGTCTTAGTTTCAGGTTTCTTCCATTTCACACATAATTTTCAGTTATTTTTCTTGGTGAGTCTTTCCTAGCCTTCTTACAGACCTCTGCTAACATTGACATTTTGCAGTGGAGTTCTGGGCTAAAGATTACTTGGGCCTATAAAACTATTCAAAACAATTAGAAAAAATAATATCCTCCAGTGATAAACCTGAGAATATACAGAAGCACAAACCTTTTGTACATGTTGCTCTTTTCAGGACACACTTTCCTGTTCATCATGGCCCACATCTCCAGGCCTCCGGTGGGAGAAGCGATGGTGTGACCTCAGGCTCATTCCCCTACTGCATGCCCGCTTCTCCCAGTACATGCCAGGGACTGACCAGAGTCGGTGAGTCTCTGATCTTTGATTGAAAACTGGTCAATGCTCAAATTTTCAGCCTAATGTGCCACATTGTTTATATTTTAGCATGTTTGTAAAACTACAGAAAAGAATCGCAAAAGAACACTCTCCCAATGTAGATCATGGTAAATATGGGGCCAAAGTCAGTGAAATCCCTGATTCCATCATAAAAGTTTGTAGTGAATCTGATGCATATAATGTTATAATTTTACTGGTCTTTATATTTCGAGTTAATTTTCTAAGCTTTTATTTTCAAAGTAGTTGTAGCACTTATATATTTATGTTTTTAAATGATGCTAGGAATCCTACCAAGGGCCTTAAATAAAACCCCAGACCTTTGTACGTCATCATCTACCACTCTCTCACATTCTTAGCTTTGTGAACGAGTATATAAGTTTATTTTTCATCTTTTTATAATGCTCAGTGCTGTTTGGGATGTTTTTCAATAGCAGATTTTGTGCTTTGTGGATCTTTTCTTCCCATAGAATTTATATCAAAAGTTATCCCATTTTTCTTGATGATTTTTGTTGTTGTTGTTGTTTGAGTCCCTTGGTTTGATATTTTGCCCAATGCATTTCTTTTTTGAGATAAATTCCTCAGGTACCAAGAAACCTCTCTGGAAAGAAAGGCTTTCTGTCTGTTTCTACTGAAGTCTCCTGAACAGCTCTCTCTCTCTCTTTCTCTCTCTCTTTCTCTCTCCCCCCCTCTCTCTCTCTCACACACACACACACACACTGATGCACACACAGCTGGCAGTCTCCAAAATGGTTTTTCCGTTGGTTTATACCTCCATGTGTCCTTGAGCTCAGAAAATTTTTAACTATGTAGTTTGTGGCATTCCATTATTATGATAAATATAAGTATTTCTACTTTTAATTTGTCTGAATTGATCTATATATTTAATTTTTACTTATAGGATAAAACAAGTTTAAAATTTCTATAGCTACATATATTTTTGTGAAAGTTTCTATGTTTGCATCATTTGTTCAAATATAGTTCTCTATTCTACAGTTATGTTTATAACAAGATTGGTATTGATTACTCAGTGTCTTTACATGTCCCCCATCTTTCACGAATTCTGACTTTTCTGGAAATGTCTCTCTACACTAGAATATGTATGAATTTTTCCATTGTTTTCTATTTTTATTGACAATGTATATATTATTTATTCTATATGCTCTAAATTTCACTAATGATATATTTTGTATTATATCTGATGTTTTTCTACATGAAATACTATTTGGTTATTACAGAATTTCTGTTTTGAATGGACTGTGGAGTAACATTCAGTTGGAGGAAAGGATCCATAACCATTTTTATAGTATAATAGCTTTTTTTCAAAAATTTTAGTGTGGTTTCATAGCCAGAAAAGTGGCATTTAGGGCATCTGCTTTCCATTATTATTTTGTGTGTGTCTCTAGGCTCTATGAGATTGTTTTGGAATATTCAATTAATTGTGTTACATTCCTTTATGTTATGGAATGTTTGTTTCATGATGCAAAGGTGTGTTGCATTCTTTTGTGTTGTATTTGCTTAACTCTGTGAAGCTGTGCTGCTTTGACTGTCTAAAACACCTGTTGGTCTAACAAATAGCTGACTTGCCAATATTTAGGCAGGAGTGAGGCTAGGCAGGACTGGCATGCATACAAAAGAAAAAGGGGAAGAACATGAAGTGAGGCAGGAATAATGCAAAGAATGAACTAGGGGGATGGCATGGGTAAGAGACCTAACCACACGGCTAGGCATCCAGTAAGAAGGAAAGAATGGTATAAATAATAGAAGCAAAAGGTAAATTGGACAATTTACATTAACAAAAGCTAGCTGGCAACAAGCCAAGCCAAGGCAAGGCATTCACAAGCAAGAGTAAGCCTCCTCCGTGTAATTTTTTGGGAGTTGGGTTGTGACTCGCTAAAGAGAAAAGAAAAAATAAATAAAAACAAAACAAGAGTATGGAATGCTACAGCCTGTTCATGTTTCTTAATGTACAATCAAAATTGAGATGCATTTTCCTCATCTATAAATCCATTGTGGTCCTTCATGATACAGTTGCAATCCTTTGCCCTCCTAGCTTGACTGTTTCTAAGCCCCAACAATTGCAAATCTGTTCTTTCTCATTTACTTGTTTTGATGACATTATGTTAGTGGACTCATTTACCATGAAGCTTTATTTGATTTAATGTTGCTTAGTAAAATTCCCTACACATTCATTAAGGTACTTCCTTTTGCAACTGTTCATACCCCCTTTTCACTTTTTTTTTCTTTTCCCTCAAAGTAGTTTGAATCATTATTTTTAAGACATTAGGTTTTCAATAAATATTATATAACATAAATGATACAAATAGTGTGTGTAGATTTGATGGATACTAATTTCATTGAAAAACATTGGCTGTGAGTTTCATAATAACCTGATGAGTCTTTCTAGCATCACTGTGTCAATGTTTCATCCTTTTCCATTTTGAGAATTCACTCGTTCTTGATATCACTAGCAAATACCTTTGTCCTTACCTTATCGTTCTGGTGGATGTGAGGTGGGGTAGGAGGTTTTGGTCATTCATTGGGTTATGAATACTTGTCATTGTTTAGGGTGGTTGGTTATAAGTTGTTATTTGTAATTGTCAGGAAAAAGTTGACAAAGGAGATGAAATCCAGAGTTCTAGTTTTGAAATAAAACAAAATAATATAGATATGATAGGATATAAAAGTACAGTACTGTATATACTCTGAACAAAAGGAAATATAGAAATAGTATAAAAAAGTTAAATTACTAAATCTATTTTTATACCAAAAACTCAACTATTAGTTTTAAATATTTTACACTAATATTGAATATTGTATGTTGATACAATTATAAGATTATTTTTGTTAGAACATACTGTACATACATTTCTTGTGCAAAATATTGTACCTATTCAACTAATTTAACAATGTAATGCAAATGTTTACCCCTACCAGCTATTTAAGATAATAAGGAAATGGATGTTAGATATTAGTCACCTATTACAATTGAACTTCTAGTTATATTAGGTATGATTTAAATCTAAACAGGAAATATTTTAGATAGCTATTCATCTTCAAACATTTCAGAGATCTACAGAATATTCCACTTTCCACTTTCCACTTAAGATGTTTTAATAACATAAGTTCTTCCTTCTTTTTTTTGACAAGGAGCCATGTTTGCTCCTGGCAGCATCAATCTACATTGGAGTAGATGATGGGAATCAAATAAATCCCATATAGGTTTTCTTTTCTTTATGGCAAAAGTAAGCCACTTGGCAATAAAATGACTTTACCTCAAATGCTGACAATAAGCTTTTAAATGTGTAGCAGGATACAAAATAGAGAACTGCTGAATGTTGTCAGGACAAGGTAGTACAGTCCTTCAAAATACCTCTTTCACAGAAGAATCTATCTGATAGGTTAGGCCCATAGGCCGAAAGTGAATTCCCCAACATTGCAGAAGCTTGGGTCACTGTTCAGGCAGCCAGCTGTTCTTGTCATTTCTCACATATTTTGCAAGTCACTCGCTTGAACTTCCTGCTTACTGTTTACATCTGTGAGCCTTACATAATGTCAAGAAATATCTTTTCTCTCAGCAAGTTAACTGTACTATCTATTTTCACACACACATACACACACACACACACACACACACACACACACACATCCATTTATAGATTTAATTTGCCCTAAACTTCACACTTTCATGGTTGTTTAATATAATACATTAATTTCATTTTTTGTTGAGAAAATTGTATACATTCAGAACATTGAACCCTTTGGACTTACCTTGTCTATTCAATATTTTCTAAAACTTTAATGATCTATGTTACATATTTCTCAAGACATATTATTGCTTTCATAAGTCTCTTTATTTAAATATACCCTACTTATAATTAATCTGATTTTTCATTTCACTAGACCTGGAACTTTCTGTCTTAAGTGTTCTCCTGATATTACTATTAAGACCTGTTTTTGAAAAAGTGTTCATTGGCTTCATTAGATTATTTTGTTTTAAAAATATGCAGTTGCCTGACATAAATATTTATATAATATATACCAAATATCTTCTAATAAAAAAGAATTTTCGTCAAGTATGATTAACGCTATAATTTAATTTCATGCTGCCTCAGCACTACAAGTTAAATAGATGGAGCTCGAAAAACATCATTATGAATGATGTAACACAGATACCAGAAGACTAATATAGTATTTATTCACTTATGTTAGGATAGTAGCTATGAAGTCATTGATAAGGAGGTTGCATTCTATGTATCCATAGGGATTATAGACAGGGTAACAGCCTAATGGTGAAGGTAGGATATCCCTAGGAAGGGAAATAGAACATATTGTTATGAATGGAGCAGTGGTACTAGAATGGGATCATATGGGTAGAGGGAGAGGACAGGAGTTAGTAGAGGAAAAGCAAATCCTATTGGTGCATATTCTTACTAATTTCTTTTTATTAGTTTTGCTCTATTCTGGATTGTTCTTTTATTAGTTATATATTAGTTTATCTATGTTTGTTTTTCTTTTTTTTTTTTACTTTATATAACCAAGTCCATTTAAATGAAAACAAACACTTATAGACAATATTTGGGAATTTGGGCGTCGTTCTTTCCAAACTACTTCCTGCTGGTAAGGGGCACTGTCATAGGGGATTCTAAGAAGATGCAGAAATTCTGGCTGTAGACTGTAAGGCTGCTTTGTCCAGCTGTTTTGAATGTAGGATCACTTGGTACTCTGTTTCAGGTGGTCTGGCTTGATCAAACCACATTAGTCTGGAAGGAATCCACATCTTTTCATTTACTGTGGAAACAAAATTAGAAATCCTTTTCCCCAGTAACTTGTCCTTGAACTTAAATTTTGGAGTCAAAGCATTTTTTTTATTTAATTTATTACTTTACATATCGATCCCAGTTCCCTTTCCCTCCCTCCCTCCCTCCATCCCACCCTCTCTGCCCTCTCACATGCACTCTAAACACCCTCCC